GCTGAGCTTTAAGCTAATCCATAAAGTGTTATCACAGAAGCTTACAACTTGTCCATTATGCTCCTGTACTTACAATGATCTTTTCCATCAAACTCTTGTGATTTCCCTATTTTCTATCCGATTGTAAAATACATAGGGGTAACCAAATACTATCTAACTCAAATCCTGGGAAAAAAGCATTGCCGGCTGTTTAGCAAACAGCCACCTAGCAGAAAGGTGATTATTGTTAGAAACAGAATTTCCCAGAAAGCTTGATGCACGCTTTTAACATGAGAATAAAAATAGCACATATAATTTGTACAGTACACTTTCTCCCAGCAAATGACATTCTATTATTTTTTCTCTAAAATTACATGTTATTGACTCGTCACAGACCTGGGCTGATTTCAGCCTGTGATTCATGAGACTGATTTTACAAAACATTTGGTCTTTAATGGGATAAAGACCATCTTTGGAATTCCAAATGACCTACAAACAAGCACCTGTCCCCGGACCAGGAGTTGGAGACCTCAGCCTTAGAACATCAAAAATAAAGTAAGGACATGCATCCCTTTCTTACTTGGGAATATGTAGAGTTGTCTATGATGATACGATGATTTAATGAGTAATTGCGACTTTATAGTAAAATGTGTACACCTTGAATATACAAAACAAGAAATAATAGTGATATTTCCTATAACCTCAAATAAGTTCTTACTCAAAAACTATAAAACTGGAAGAAGAAGAAAAAAGAAACCAGAGGAGGAGAACATCTTCCACCAAGACAGATGTGCTTTTTAATGGTTAAGTTTTAGTCTGTCCATCAAATCCTTAACATAGGACAGGAATTCATATGGTTTTTGGTCCATAACTTTGGGATTTTCTTCCCTAAAACTTTATTTGGGGATTGCTGAATCTCTACTTCTCAAAATTGTGAGCAGTTTCCCTGAATGGAGCCTCTGTTCTGGAAGCAGCACAATTGGAGGGTAATACAACACTGCTCAGGGTCCAGAACATTCACAGGTACACCTGCCTTTGCTGCTTCCTGTCTGCCACAGGGCAAATTAAATTGCAGAATGCTTGTTACCTGAAACTTCGGACCCCTCCTCATCTTACTTGGACTCTAAATTTTCCCGCTCTAGTCTGGAATGAGTCTTCGACCCTCAAGGAGAAATGGATCACGTTCTGCTGATGTGCTCTGTTCTAAGGCATCCGGGCACAAAGACAACCCTGATCCTGTCTGACTTTTTAAAACTTTTGCCCCGCCGTCCTGCCCAGTGACTTCTGAACACTAGGAAGGGTTTTCATTACTGTCTTTGTGTGCCTCTCTGTGTTTTGTTCATTTCACAATCTAGTCTCTCTTCTGCTGCCAAATAGGGCTGACAACTAAAAAATCTTGACTGGGAAAAGGTACAAATGTGGAATATTAAAATCCAGGTCAATACAATGGAAATACTTTGTATTATTTAAAAAAATAAATCCAATAATGCAGTGAAGTAACCAGAAGCTGAGAGCTTCTCCCTGGACTAATAACATTTATCCAGTCTGTTCTATCATCCAGTTTTCTCTGATATGATTCGTTTCTGCAGAACAAACATCATCTTCTACAATAGTAGACGATGTTTCTAGGGAAAAGGGTAAGAAATGAAAGAGGTAAAAGCCCCTTCTACTGAAAAAATTCTTTCAGAAACTAGCAGAGATACAAGGGTTGGACAATCAAACTGAAACGCCTGGTGACCAAAGGTTTGGCTATAAACAGGAGAGTTGAGGTGCACATTTAATTCTGCAGTGAGTTGGGCAGCTGTGGTTTTATGATTTTTGGATACAATTCAGGTTAGCACCCGGCTTCCTCTTGCGTCCACAGTTACTCCTGTTGGAAGTGGTTCATCCTTCTTGGTGGTATGCGGACATTACCCTGGATACCATAGCTTTTTATACGTCACAAAGACTTGCTGTCTTGGTCACAGATGTGCCAGCAAGGCGTGCACCAACAATTTGTCTTCTTTTGAACTCTGATATGTCACCCATAATGTTGTGTGCATTGTAATATTTTAAGCAAAACTGTGCTATTACTAAAGCTTTTGGGAACCAGATGGCTACTTCAAGTTCTAAAATATAGTCCAAATAGAACTTACTTGAGACATACTTAAGTTATTTTTATGACAGAAAAATGGGTTATTGTTGGTTCGAATTAAGACGTAGCACTCTGACAGTTCAATGTTGTCCACCAATTTGCTTTGTGTAGAAAGAGGGATTCTGGTTGTGTTTTAATGGAACACCAAAATGCTAATCCTCAAAAAATGCAATAATATGGTCATCTGATATAGAACTGATACTTAAATCACTAGCTATAAGGCAGGGGTCACCAACCTTGAAACTGAGAGCTACTTTTAACAGTACTTACTAACATGAAGAGCTACTTCTTTGACTCAAATAATGTAATAATAATTAGTAACAGTAACATTTTTGACCCTCTGGTTGACTAATTTTATTTTAAGAACATACCCCGCGGGCACCTTAGCTCACGGGCGCTACCAGGTGCCCCCGGGCACCACATTGGTGACCCTGCTATAAGGTGACCATAGCTTGTATTGTGAGCGATGGACTTATGGGATGTTTTTCACCAATATTTACATAATGACTGCCCCAGTGAAGAATCCTTTTTTTTTGTATTGTTTATTTTTCAAATCTTAAATGTTTTTAAATTTCACTGTAGGTTTTCATTGTTGCTGATTTGTGACGTTTTGTATTCTTTGATTGTGGCAAAGGTTTTGATGAATAGGTTTTAATTGACTGATTGGCTGTTAACAATAATTTCTGATACACAACATCTGTGTAGATTCTCACTTTTCCAGGTCATGGTTCTTCGTATCATGTGATCAGTAGCAACTGAACTGAAAGTCAAGCTGAAAATGTTTCAACTCTCATCTAAGGGTCTTCTTCAGAGGCCTCTTCAGAACTGAAGAAACCTTCATATACTATATCAGATATCACTAGATCACTAGATATATCACTAGATCAGATACTACTGACGCACAGCATTTGAAGACTATTGGTTCACGTCTTTTCACAGCAACACAGCTGATGAGCAGTGCCAAGCACAAAGATGCTCAGGAGTCTTGTGACTACTTTTAGGACTTCATCCTCCAGGCCTCCTGTCGCCACTCTTTTTTTTTTTCTTATCTGACAAACTGAAAGGTCAAAATAACCTGATCGTTGCCCGTCAGTCATGTCATACTGAATTAATCTTCTGCTGGCTCATAATTTATTTGGTATTGATTTTCTTTTTGACAAGCTCCTCCTTTCAACATATGTGTCTGAAATAGTAGAAGATAGATGAATGACTTTCAATATATGTTTCATCACTATAAAAAGCTTCTGACTCACAGGGATCTATGTAGGGTTATAAAGCACAATAAGTCTTTATATTTGTTTATATAGATGTGAGAAAAACAATGTGACAAAGACTGAATCAGTTGAATGAACTGAATACATTTTTCCCTGTTTTCAGCTGAGAAATCATTGTCTTTGTTTTCAAAAAGTCATCTCACTTTGATGGGATCACATTGAGGTTAGGATACCTCCACGGTCAAATGGTCCTGAAAACAAAAAAGACAGCTGTATATTTCAACATGCCTTCTCCTCTTAATGCACTGCAGGGAAACTGTATCCTGTAAATGTGCAGTGGCACCAGTATGATGTAGATCAATGAAGGTCACAAGTGCAGACTTACAAGCAGGCATTGTGTTGGTTTTGGTGTGTGTATGTGTGTGCGTGCAGGACACAAAGGAAGCTACATCTTGGACAGCAGCAAGATGCTTCTATTCTGAGAGCATACTAAACAGGTTTATGAGGACGAACAGATGGAGGCAAGAAGATACAATACACCTTACTGTTCTGCTGCTCAAAGATGCGGTGGAGTCACAGAGGTAATTACTGCTTTTAATAATTTATACATCCCGTCCCTCGCAGTTAGAAAAGTGAAATTGAACTCTACTCAATGCAAATGAACTACTTGTCATAGTGACACAGCACACCACTGCACACAACGAAATGTGACCTCTGTTTTTAACCCATCACCAAAGTGAACAGTGAGTAGCTTTAAGAGCCCGGGGAGCAGTGAGTGGAGACGGTGTCATCCTCAGGGCACCTCAGTGGTAACCTGGCAGCTGGTGGACTGGAACCTGAAGCCTTCCAGACCCAAGTCCACTTCCTTAACCACTAAGCCTCCACTGCATAACAGATATAACATATGGTCTTTTATTATTTTATGCATAAGAAAACATGTTGAAAACACATGTATGTGGTCATAAAAGTTTAAATAATGGTTGGTTAATTATTCATTACTTATGACAACCCTGTCTAAATATACTGAGTCTATCAATAAGTTGTGTGAAAACTTGACAAGGTCGTGAGAGAAGGACAGACAAAGAAAAAGCTGATTTTCAGTCAATTTGATTCTGTGTATAACACTGATCTGATAAATATTGGGGCAGATGAAGGAGGAGCAAAAACGACAGATAAGAGTATGTGTTAATAACTGAGGTGGAGTGGACATGAACTTAGTGACCGGCCTTTAATTTAAGTTTATATTAAACCAGCCAGCAGAGATGATATCAGTGTGCATTTAGAGGAGTGTGCACTGAGAAGTTTATCTGTGTTTTCCGTCTGTTTGATTCACTCCCTCACCAGGTAATACATATATGATCTTCATATCTGTAAGAGTCATTCAGCATCAGTTGACAGACCCTGGGTCAACACAGTGTGTGAGCCAATGATGCTATCTATCTGTGAACTGTTTGACCAGCTACACCGAATATTTCTAAAGACTGGCTTACCACTGCTGTCACTTGGATTTTGTCTAATTCCTTTTATACATATTTTTAATAGCCTAGTAACAGGGTTGAGCTGA